TACTCTAAGACAATATATTAATGGCATCTATTTGTGCTGTACATGTCTCTGGCAGTTAAAAAGGCACTTTGATCGTCACAGCAGATAACAGTATACTTTTGACAGATTTAAACAGACTTAAAACCTTTCTGATGAGGGCAGCCCTCACTTATACTTCCTGTCAAGACTGACAGTCAAGAGGACAAGCTAAAAGTGCACCTTAACAGTTAGCAAACGTGGATTTGGGGGAATTAATTTATGTTTGTTGGGGTTCTTTTCTTAAACTATTATTTTAATATTTATCCTGAAGTAATGCTAGAGAGTTTTGTCGCCTGTATTCTCAACTAGTAGATGCTTACAAAAGTCAAAGCTGACTTTAGTGACTTTGCTCCATGTTCAGTCTACAGCATTTTATCTTCACTGAACTTCTTTTCTACAGGGATGTAGCTTGTATGGGTGTGTTAGTCCAGGGTAAAAGGCACCTGTTTGGAAATTTATTTTTAGCAGTGAAGAAAAAGCATGGGGAATCCACTCTGTGCCCTCAAAATTATGCAGCTGGGACACATATGCTTTGTCTATGTGGGATTATTTCCTGTGCTGTAACTGAAGGAATCAAAGGGTACACAGATACTGCCTTTAAATGTTCATATCTCTGATGTTAACATTTGTTTAAAAAAGGTTAATTGCAGGCAATTATGTGCTAAAGGAGCTACATCACAAGAAAAGTCAGTAGTACTAGGAAACTGTAACTTTGAATTAATGATAGAACTGAGCAGTTGTGCCAGAGCATTTTATTTAAGGAGGCAGCACATTTTTCTTATTATAAACTGCTAAAATGTGATGGGTTTGCATGAGTTTTTGGTTTTTTTTTCTTTTTCATAAATCTTAAAAAGGCATATTTAACACTTCACACTGAATTCTGAAAGTGAGTGAATAAAGAAGCAAGTATTCCGATGTTTTAAATTTAACACACTGTTTGTTAGTGTTGAATATTTAAAAATAATACTACTTCTTGAATTAAACTGTGTCTATTAGATGGATCACTTGAAGGCAAAAGGCACAGTTGTGCTTACTTAGCATGAGAGCCTCAAGAGTTTAAATAGCTTGTGTTTATTTTTGTAATCTGTGTCTATGATAAGAATCCATTCCTGCTTTATGGTACTGGTGACTAAAAATTTATTGGTGTATCTTGAAACTATGTCAAACTTGCAGGAATCTGTCCTTTTTTCCCCCCTACTTTCCAGCCCAGCATCCTGGGAGTTCATAAAACTGTTCAGTTAACGTTCAGCCTTTATCCAATTTGTATAAATCCTCTAGCTGGGATCTGTCTCAAAACTGGTGAGAAATAGTGCTGTTTTTTCTTGGTAAGCTAGCTAAACCACTAAAGATTTCACATTGAAATTATGGGTTTTTTTAAAAAAAGGTTGCATAGACGAAAGATAAGCAGTCTCTATCAAAGTGCCTTCCAGTCCTTATCTGAAAGTAATCCTGGCCCTCCTGACTCCATACTCTTTCAGACAGTTGCAGTATGATTCTAAAATACCCTCATAAGAAAAAAAAAACAAACCAACCAAACAACAACAAAAAGCAACAACCTAAATCCAAACAAAATAAACCCCTTGACACCCCAAAAAAAAGGAAAGAGAATGAGAAGAGAAAGGAAAACTCCAGTTGACCCAAAACCTCTGAAGATTTTTTGTTGCCCAGTTCCTGGTGTTATGCTGCTTGACAGCCCTAGAAAAGACTTGGTAGACTAGGCTGATCTTACAAGAATTTATACTTTCAGTCCCATTAGGATTAAGGAGTTGGCTCACTCCTGATAAATGCCAATATAAAGCAGCAGAGAATCAAGCCAGCTGAGCTGGTCATGACCTTATATGCATAGTGATAATTAATAGGTAATGAGACTGGTATAGCATGGCTCTGAAATGCGGTAGAATACATCATCTAGACTGTTTAGAAATTACAATTTTAAATCACACTTTAAGCAGGAATTAAAGACATCTTTTGCCATCATGGGCAAAAAAGTTAGTCCTTCACTAAAGAATGTGTGCCATATGTGTCACTGAAATATGTAATCTTCAATACAGTTATGCAACAGAATAAGAATTATTCATGAATTTGAGGTCAGAGGGTAGGGAAACATGGGTTAGACTAATATAATACCTGTTTTTAATCTGTACTTTAAATAAGGGCAGCTGTTTTAAATTTCATGGAGAGACCTTTCTTGTTCTCGTTACTTTTGTCCTGAGATAATTTGTTCCACTCACATAGTAGTAAGCTTGATGTGTGAATCTTCCAAGCCTGTTCTCCTGCACTACTCTGTATTCAGGAGTAAATACAAAACTATATGAAAACAAGCAAGTGAAAAAACAATTATTACAAAATATGCATGAGTTACTTTAGTAGGATTTTTTTTTCCATATATCTCTCTCTCAACTATTTCTCCTTTTTCTATATCAGCTAGTGCTAATCTTCTATGAGGGTACTCAGTCAAGGACATCTCTTCACACAATGACTCTTCTTCACTTGTGTTAATTGGAGAAGAACCTTGACTCAATTCTGCTCACCTGGATGAGGCAATTTGTTCCACAGAACTCAAAAAGGACTGTCTCAAATGCAGTCTTTGACTCTGTACTGAGTGTTGCCTTGCTTTTTATTGGTTTTCATAATCAGTGAGCTACAAAGAGCAGCCATCCTCCCTCTGAAGATAAAGTGGATTTACTCATTTTTTTTAATTCATCAGGCATGACTTTCTGAGCTTTCCTTGTTTCTGGTGTTTTTAAAAGGGAGGAGAAGAGAAGAAAGAACTCTTCTCTTCATAATCATTAATGTGAGGCCTAGACTTTTTGAAATTTTGAAGTTCCCAGCCACAATTCCTTATTCCCTTTAGTAATTTCTGGTTTTGTGGTTGCTCCAAGTGAACAATTTAGAGAGGGTGTTTTGAAAACGGACACAGTGCTTCCTGACAGAGGAGACATGTTCAGGCAGTGCAGCCAGGACCTCTGGCAGAGCCTATGGGAGACACAACCGAAATTCTTGTTCTTCTGCCTGTAAAAATTTAAACACAACTTCAACTAGCTTTATTTCATGGAAATTATTTACTTTGGATGAGAACAAAAGCTGTGCAAAAGTATTTGATTCTGAGAAGATATATTTTTTGACTAATTCTGCTCCCATTTATACCTCTCGAAGCACTCAGGAGAAGGGGTTGATTATTTAAAAGCACCATGATCTATAGCTGCTGTAGAGGGAAAAAAAAAGAAAAAAAAAGACAAAGACACTTTTGGAATTATGTATAGCATTTCAGTAAGAGAAACAGCTTTTTCATCAGTGGATGTGTATGTCATACCAAGTTGGCTTTCCATGACAACTGGCTGCTCTTCTTCCTGCCCAGCCTGCTGGAACATCTCCAGAACTTGCATTCAAGGCCACTGAAATGCCTAGAGTGAGTTTACTTTTAATGGCTCTGCTTCAATCAGGAAGAAATAATTAGAAAATAACAAATTGAAAGAGAGTACCTGCAAATTTTTAGGCTTGGTGTATTCAGTAAATATTTCATTAGGAAACTCATGGAAAGGTAAAAAGGCAGCAATTAAAAATTTAATTTTTGAAAATGTGGTATATTTTGTACATTACAAAAGTCTTACAGTGAAGGAGCAAACCTAATTTTCTGGTTAGCTTTTGCTGGTTTTGAACCGTACTGTCTGGGGCATATGAAACAGAGCACTGAAGCATTTGCATTTCTCCTACTTGATTTCTGTGTCCTCAAAAAAACCCATTGCAGAAGGGACTGCCCTTCCCACCACTGCAAGCGTGGGAGCATCACTTCTGAAGGGATTAGTTTCAGAACATATCCTTTTATAACAGCCTTAGTAAGAGTAGAGAGCAGTGAATTTGAAATGCCGTAGTTGCACATGACCTAACTCACAGCAATTGTACTTACCAGCTTCAGCTGAAGCAGCTTTCAGTTTTCAAAGAAAAGGGTGGCCAGTGACCATGCGTCTCCTTTGAAATCTTTGCCAGAACATGAGTTTTTTTTATAGGTTTTACCGATAAGGAGACTTTGTAGACCCTTCAGCATTCTTCTAAAATCATGAAGCAGAAAAATTGGCAACACTTTCACCCCTCTTCTTAGCTGCTTCTTAAATCTAAAGGAATTGTGCAAGGTGGAAAGCTGTATTTCTGTGCTGGGGTTTTGGGTTTTTTGGTTGGTTTGTTTGGGGGGTTTTGTTTGTTTGTTGGTTGTTTTTTTTTCAAATAATATTCTTAAACTGTTCTTTCTATTGCAGAGTTTTTCATTATGAATTTGATAAGAATTTATACAATAAATATTTTAAAGCATTCTGCAATTTAAAAACTACAAGAAGCAACTTGAGATAAATATCACAAAATTATTTCCATGTGCTTTGCAGCAATATTACTGTTTGAATGATGGTCAGGAGTTGAAATGGAGTTCATACACATTTTGTACATCGAAGATATGAGTTAAAAATCACTGAGCATTTGGCTTCTATATTTTGGGAGTATTTTTAATAATCTAGAAGAGTAGAAATGAGATGACATCACTAACAACTAAAATACAAATCCTTGAAACATTTATGGCATACCAGCTGTCGAAGCATCATCATCATCATCTTCTGACAAATAACATTCTCTGAAGCTTGATGGATAGCACTCTGATATGCTGTGTCAAATACTTTGCTGACTGAATGATACATCTGAAAAATATTTGAAAGTTGTCTTTCTAAAACCGGACAGATACAAGTCTTGCCTTACTGACCTAGAGAGGTATAAGAGATGTGTAGCTCCCTCAACAAAGAAGGGATAATAAATTTACCAGTTTTATGTTTTGTCTTACCTTATTTTGTATCACTTCATATCACCTCTTGTTTTAACATGCTTTTAAGGAACTCCTAAGAGATTAATGCTTGTACCCCTTAGTACTCTTGAGAAAATAAATATTAAATGTAATAAAATGGATTAATTTTTCATTTCACTGCTCATTACTTTCCTTTCAGCTTTTTGCCTGATTACATCAGTGGTGATTTTGATTCCATTCAGCCTGAAGTCAAGGAGTTCTACAAGGTCAAGGTAAATTAAATCTCTCTGATGAATTTTTGTGTGATATAGCATTGTAAGATCCAACCCATTAGTGCCCCCATTGGTCATTAAGTAATTCTGGCTTCGTTGGTTTCTTTAAGGCTGCGGTTGTGAAGCACCTTACAAGCCCAGAGGTTAAGCTTCATGTGATACTGTACTAATGCTTAAAGTAAACACAGGAGGTGCAGTACTGCCTGTGTAGGGTGACTTTTCATAGCATGAGGTGAGGAAATAGATTGTATGTTGCTAGAGTAATGAGTAATGAGAAGCTAGGATAAAACTTTCTGAAAAATCTGACTTCCTTTGCATGGTGAGATACAAAGAAATAAAGATTAACTTGTCGTAATTCTCACCTGGCTGGCACCTACAGACATTCTAGAGAGAGTTTCTCTGTTTGTTATTTGTATGATATGACTTTACCTTTTTTGAGGAAAGCTGCAGATGGAGACATCTGTCTCTTTCCTCACCCACTGAAGCACTGAATTACACCTGACTACTTCTGCTTCACCAGTGCAGTGCCCTCCTTAATGTGTTATTGGATAAATTCCTGCATATGTTAATTTATTTCCAGTGTAGCCACCATGTTTCCAGTGAGCAACATAAATGTAAACTCACTTTGCTTACCTTTGCCACAGGCTGCACTTGCAAGAGGAGTAAGTGTTTCATCCTTGTGAGCTAGTTGATTTACTCTGCTGCTATTCAATGTGTGAAAATGAAATTTGCCTGAAATCTTCCCTAATGGACTTGGGATGAAATGGTTAGAAAAAAGGTTTCATACTGTGAGGGGTGGGCTGGAGGAGTGTGTGGAGCTGGATGGGTTTTAGTCCCTCTCTGAACACTGTAGAGTTTTATTTCCATGTTCTACCCCATTTTTTAGAAGGGAGAAGTGTGTGATGGCAGTTCATATTAGGAGAACAGCTCAAGAAAAATGCTTGTGCATCTTTAAATTACAGCTTGGGAAGAGAAAATAAAATAAAATGTTTGGGGTTAATGCTATTCATTACAGGCTGGAAATTCATGATCTGTTAATGAATACAGAAACCACAAAAACCACTGCTCTGTTTGGTGTAGTCATGGGCAACCAACGGTATCAATACAGGCTGGGGGATGAACAGATCGAGAGCAGCCCTGCTGAGAAGGACTTGGGGGTGCTGGTGGATTGGAAGCTGAACATGAGCTGGCAATGCAGTCCAGAAAGTCAGGTGTGTCCTGGGCTGCATCAAAAGCAGAGTGGCCAGCAGGTCAAGAGAGGGGAGTCTGCCCCTCTACTGCACTCTGGTGAGAGCCCACCTGGAGTGCTGTGTCCAGCTCTGGGGTCCTCATCGACCTGGAAGGACATAGACCTGTTGGACCGAATCCAGAGGAGGGTCACCAAGAGGATTAGAGGGGTGGAGCCCCTCTCCTATGAGGAAAAGCTGAGAGAATTGGGGTTGTTCAGCCTGAAAAAGAGAAGGCTTCAGGGTGACCTAATTGTGGCCTTCCAAGTACCTGAAGGGAGCCTATGAAAAAGCTTGGAGAGGGACTTTTTACAAGAGCATGTAGTGACAGAACAAGGAAGAATGGCTTCAAAGTGAAAGAGAGTAGATTTAGATTGGGTAGGAGGAAGAAATTCTTTACTATGAGGATGGTGAAGCACTGGAACAGGCTGCCCAGAGAAGCTGTGGATGCCCCATCCCTGAAGTGTTTAAGGCCAGGCTGGATGGAGCTCTAAACAACCTGCTCTAGTGAAAGGTGTCTCTGCCCATGGCAGAGAGGTTGGAACTGGATGTTCTTTAAGGTCCCTTCCAACCCAAAGCATTCTATGATTCTATGATTAATGCTTAAATAAACAGCATGGTGGTAGGTAGGAAAGTCCTACCAAAGAATGCAAGTTAAGGATCATTCAACAGAGAGATGGAAGAGGTAGAAGGTGGAAGAATACAGTAGGGTATGGAAAGGGATAAGCTAAGGTAATGGATATTACACTTTTTCACAGTTATTACTTTTCTGGCCATAGCATCCCTTTTGTCAGCTCAGTTGCAACTTACTGTTGATATGCAGGTTGCATCTTCTCTATGAACACATAGTGAACAATTCTGCTTCATACAGAGTTAATACATCTGTGCAAGTGCTGAGCTGATAGCCTGTAAAGAAAGCAGTAATTCATCAGGATTGTAAAGGTGTAATGAACAGAATAATCTAATCTACAAAATCCTTGCCTGGGGTCCTCATACAATGCAGTTAGACTTTAGGATTTTAATTTTGTGTGTACATGGAAAGAAAAATAATGTTTTTGCATTTTTTAATTAATTTTCCATGGTCAGAAAATTAGAATGGTAGATACAGGTGAGTGTCTAAGGATATCTTGAGCAAAAAATATAATAAAACACAGAATTTGGAGAAAGTTGTATGTTTCTTCTATTGTAAAACATCTTGTTCATTAAAGCACTCTCTGTAGTCCAGACAATTTCCAAAGTCACTGTCTTTTGGAAATACTGTATGTGTTCATGACCCAAAATGTATTAGGGATACTTAAAACAGGCTGTGAGAGAACTTCAGGTGAGTAGATCAGTGTAGTACTATTGACATTAGGGAAGTATGTAGCAGCATGTTGTGAGTTAGGGTAGCTTCCCATACCATCCTTCCTTACCAACAGGCAGATTACACCCAGAGACAAGGTAAGCCACTATCATTAGAGAATTTTACTGTATTGTTTCAAGCATTCTCTTTTATCAATTGTTTTTATTTTTTTATAAAAGCTACCTCTATGGGCAGAAATTGATACATCATGGCTTTTTTTATCTATCTGACGATAGCATGCCACTGCTAAGAGGAGTTACTTTTTCACAGTAAAGCTTATGGACATTAATTATTGAGTTAGAAAACATAATCGTATGCAAGTGTTTTTTTCAAAGACAGACGAGTGTAGTGCTGAGTAAGAAGCAGAAAGTATTAAACTCAGTGTGTGAAACTAATTATGGTTCTGTGAAGCATTGTCTATAGGCAGTTGTATCATCATCACAAAACTGTAACAACCTGACTCTCCATCACACCAGCTTCATGCCAGGAGGTTGCTCCTGGACTTGGAAGGCTTTCTACCTCGTTGAAGTGATGAAAGCAAGAGCAGTATATGCCACTACAGGAAACATTATTCCTGAAGTTTTACTAGGGATATCTTTAAGCCACTTCCTCTGGTGTGGCTTGAGCAAGGATTTACATGATAAGTGTTTCCATTTCCCCTTTAGGAGGACAATCACCATTGTATAGGGGAACCTTATTTTTATCTCTGTTAGGTGTGGTGTGCCATATTTAGTTAAGAGCTTAAAGGCACAAGTGCTGTGTTGGAAAGTAACTGTGTAATAGACTTACTAGTGGAATGTGGATATGTTGTCCTTCTGGGAGAGAATAAGTAAGCATGCATCAGAAGTTATTCAGCTTTACTCTTATTTTCTGTGGTCTTAGTTTTGCCTCATTGACTTGTCAAGGATATGCTTGTAGTCTTTTATTCTTTATATTAAAAGATTAGTGATTATTTCCCCCATTTCTCGGAGTTAAGTAATGTTAAAACTGGATAAAACTGCACCACAACTGGAAATGAAGTGTCGTATTTAAAATTTCCTTTTAAAATCATATTGCACTATAAATGAAGGATAAAAAAGAATAACAATTCAATATTCTTTATTCTGTGTATTTTCTGTCATTGTTAAAATAGATATTGAGAAGAGGTTTTGTACTTTCATGATAAATACACATGTTCATATGATCCCATAATAGATGCACTGGCAATCTTTCTCTGTACAGTCTGAAGTGCGTTGGAAATGACACTGTACAAAGCAGGGAGGATTTGTGGTGATATTTCTGTCATTTCAGTTTCATCTGTTTCTTGCTTTAGCTGAATGTTTCTATTATTGAAACCTTTCAAACATTACTTTGAAGTTAAGGCAACCATTTGTATTGTTATGCCTCAAACAATGTTGTTTCTGAAGTTTTGAGACCAAAGACATTATCTAAAATTATACCAAATCTGTACTTATGCCTAGAAGCAGAAGGTTGAATCCAGTGCCCTTTGAAATCCAGATTATGCTATTTATTAAAAATCCAGTTTGGCTTTTCTGCTAGGTAAACTTCATGTGCTTTGAAAGGCTTCTGTAAACTTAATAGGCTTTACTTCAGATCTGTAATTAAATGCTATAAAATTATTTACAAATCTAGTTTTTTTCCTATTCTCCTTTCAAGACCCATAGAGCTGCTTATTTTTGCAGGCAGTTCTGCGGCTATAGCACATTCTCTTTCCTATTTCCATTTCCAGGGTGTAATGTTTATCAGGGCTGTAGAAATGCTTAATAGGTATGGTGTGAGTATTGTCTTTTTGTTCTGTGATGATGCATCTATAATTAGATTTACAAAATGTATTTGTAGCACTGATATATTGCTTGTATGTCTCTCTAACTTCTACACTTTCTCGCTAACCTGCATGTTTTAATGCTGTGTTCCCTGCTTGCTTTCCGAGGCCAAACTTTTTAATAATTTTGTGAAATCCCAATATTAATTGATTTATCTCAGTTATATTATTATAATTTAAGACACAAAACCATTGAGTTTTTCATGACTATTTTATCTTTTATCCCTGAATGTTAGTTTGTTTTCCTAAAACTAATTTTTAATATAGGTTGGGACTTCAGATATTAAAACATTCAACTCGTTTAGAGCATTCTTGTTACATTGAATAGTTTTCTAAGAAAAATATGGTTCATTTTAGACCCTGATTCCTTTGTGAGAGGTTTTAAGGTTTCAGAAGGAGCTGCAAAAATTGTGCAGGTGGATCTGAGACAGTTCAGTCTTGCTATTAGACTGATTACTTCTGCTTGACATTCCCCACTTTAGCTTTCAAGCAGTCCCTTGCTCTGTGTGTCCTGCTGAAGATACCTTTGACAAGCATAAAAAGTGCTATGCCTACCTCAGTTCAGCTTCTGATGTGTTAAGGGTGCCCAGTGCCACCTGGACTTAGATCA